TATCTGTCCACACATTTAACACTTCTGATGATAATCTCCAGTACCCAGCTTATATTTCATTGAATGTACTCTTAATAATTTAATATAAAATGCATATCCAAGATTTGAATAATTTATAAATGTAACTAGCACACTCTTTGGAGTTAATTATCTCATATTGATTTCACAGCTCTATTTTCCTTTTAAGGATGAGATCAGAGTCTCCTTTTTATGATTTTTTATATATTTTTCAATTTCATGACATGATATTTAGTCATTATCTTTGTTTTTAACATTTGGGATCTAGATGTGAGCACAGCTGATGTAATGTGGAAGGTTTGGGATAGAACCTATAGTTAGATAAGGTGAACATGCAAGGAGAGAAAGAATTGCTGAAGGTAAATTGCTCCTTCAGACTTCTGGTTGTGGTGAGTTTAAGGGTTCTACAATTTGATGAATATTATCTTTTTATGTATTCTAATTTTTAAAATTTGAATTAGATACATTCTTACTTTATATACCAATCTTAGTTCAATGTCCTTCCCATCCACAAATACCACACATAGAACCCAGTCCCTCTTCTGTTCAACAGAATAGGTGAGGCCTTCCATGGGGGAATCATCAAAGTTCATCACATTGTTTGCTACAGGGCCTAGGCCCTCCATAGTGTGTCTAGATGGAGAGAGTTTCCTTTTATGGGGAGTTGCCTATTAATGTCCATTCCTACACTAGGGAAAATACCGTTCCATAACTAGAAGCCCCAAAGACTGCTCAACACTCCTAACTGATACCCACAATCAGGAGGCCTAGTTCTGTCATATTCTCGTTATTAAGTATGAAGTCAATGAGCTCCTAATTTTAATATGAACTGTTTCTGTGGCTTTCCTCAGCTTGGTCATGAATACATTGCTCATTACACCTCAGTCTCTACAACTGGATTCCTTGCATTCAGCTCAGTGCGTAGCTGTGGGTGTCTGCTTCTGCTTCCATCAACTGCTGGCTGAAGGATCTAGAATGGCATATAAGGTAGTCATCCATTTTGTTATCTGGGAAGGACATTTGGGATAGCCTCTTCACTATAGCTAAGAATATTACTTGGGGTCATCCTTGTAAATCTCTGGACATTTCCCTAATGCCAGGAAACAGGAGAACATATCAGACAAATTGAACTTTATAAGACTCATAGAGGATCAGAGAAAGTGAAGCAGCTATCATGGAGCCTGCAAGGTATTGTGGCAGGCACTCTGAAAAAATGCTTTGGTTGTTTAACTTGGTTTGTATGTGGAATTCCTACCAATAGCTCCTGTGGTGTCTCTGACTCTTCTGCCTCCTCTTGGGACACTTTCTTCTACTGAGTTACCTTGGTCAGTCTTGTATGAGTGTTTGTGTCTAGTCTTATTGCACCTTGTCATTATGTGTTTGGTTGGTATCACTGGGAGGCCTTCTCTTTTCTCAAGGGAAACAGAGTATCAGTGGATTTAGGGGTATTAATATTGGAGAGAGTGCTGGAAGGATTTGAGGTAAGTAAAGCTGTGAATGTATAATAATTTCATTGATTCTCATAACATATAATAGCCCAAAAAGCACAAGTTTCCAAATACTATTCTTATAATCAGTACAATGCCTTGATTGACACATATTGTATAATCAAATAAGTAATTTAGGATTTCCAGCATACACCAGCATAGGATATATTCCCATTCAGAATAAGAGAAATATTACTGTATATCATCCCCCAACTAAGGGAGGCATCCATTTCTCATGTGAAAGTCTAACCAGCCAGAAGAATAGGTAATGTGGAACAGCAGCCCATGAAGCTCCTGACAGTACTGTTATTCCCAAACAGAGTCCTCCAACATCTCATTACCTGCCACCCACAAAGACGTGTCATCACCAAAAAATTGGAGTAATATCCTCTACTCACGTGCAGGTCACATAAGTCAGAAAAGCAGATACGCAAACTGAGACAAAGACATATTTCTGGACCAGAGTTCATGTCAGCTATACAAAATACACATTGGTTCCTCTCTAGTGGATCTTCTCCATTCTTTCAATAACCACAAACACTATTTGCAATCCAATTTTCTCCTCATGTCTATGTTGTAGCCTCCAACTTAAGAGGATAACCTGTGCTCAAAGGATACACCATCTGCCAGAAGTTTATAAGGGCCACCAGACCACAGAACACTCCCACTATCTCCATGCCTTCTCAACACTCTCACCAGGGTCTGTCCTCTCTTCCCTTCTTACAAATTCAACCTTTGGCTGATATACCCTGCTAGAACAAAGACTACACCTACAGCAAGATTTCCACCCCTCAATGTGGGGTGAGAAGCTGTGTTAAACAAAAGGGCCTCAGATCAGAAGATCAGAGAGCAAATAGAAGTCAAAGAAAAAAAACACACTTCCAACAAAGAAAGACAGAGAAATCAGCACTTAGACCCACAATCAGCTCAAAGCAAGATAACTGGACACCAGTATAAAAACGCAAACAACCACCAGAGCAATAAGTCATTACCAGATTCCAGCGATCCTACTACAGAAAGTCATGAGTATTCCAACACAGTTGAAGCATAATTTATTAAGATTATAGAAGTCCTGAAATTTGAAATGAATTAATCCATGAAATATCTCTAGGAAAGGATGAATGAAATACTGTTGCTGTGATTAAATTATCTAAGTAAAAGCTACTCTGGTGATTTACTGATTTTGTTGATACCCTTAGGCCATTGTCTATCTTTAGGGGATCTTAGGAGAGAAACTTAAGTTAGGCACTGAAAGAAAACATGTCGTACCATTGTTTTTTTTTTAATTTACTCTTTTGCCTTTTCACTGTATTGTATTCAGCTAGTTCTCTTTAGCAGCAAGGGCCCATTTGCTAAGGGACATTTCTAACTCAGTAGAATTCTTCTTCTCACATAAATCTTCAGTCAATACAATGTTTTCCAGGCAGAAATCAGACATTCTGATCTAAGAACACACTCAACTGATGTTTGCTCAGATGGCCCTAGGATGGGTCATGTTGATACCTGAGGTTAATTAGGAGACAGAGACAGTAATATATGAGAAGGTAATAAAAAATCCAAAGCCAATGAATTAATCATATGAAGTCATTTAAGCAGCAAAGACTCAAAAATTAAGATAGCAAAAACTGGAAAACACAGTATGTCAGGCAATAGGAAGAGGCAAGCATCTAAGATAACGACAAAAAACCTAAAACTGTGTCTCCACAGCAACTTCACCCAAAATAAAACCTTCAGGAACTGATAACATAAGAAATTGTATGAAGACAAACTGGGGAAGGTCCAAAATTTTTAAGAAAATGAATATAACTAGGTCACCATTATATATTACAGAAAATCAGTACACAAATTCACATAATTTG